AAGTTTAGTTTGTATTAGTTTTTACTATTGTAATTAAAATTCTTAATAAAAATTATATATATGTATATAAAAGAAAGGTCACGTTTCCATACAACTCCCATTTTACTTTTCTAATCTGATCACTTTGAATTACATATGATAAGTGTGTGAGTGTGGGGTGAAATATAGTAGCCTTTTCCTGAGAATCGCTAAGGTAGACAGACAGCATTCCACAGACGGTGAAAGGTTTGGCATTTTCCTTGCTAAGCCACTGGCGCTCTGCTTTTCCCGCCATTGTTTTCCTTTTGGAAGTGGCGCTCCATGTTTTGTTTTGTTTTTTCCCATCAGCATTGATTCTACTGAGAAACGTCAAGCCAACAGTTCCACTAGACGTTGTGAGTCACTCTTCCACCAGCCTGATGATTCAACAAAGGGGTCGCAGCATTGACATTTTTTTCTTTGGCTTTCACAGAATACAACACTTCCCTTTTTAAAGCACTGCTGCTGTTTGATCCCCAAGCCATCCATTGAGTTTATGCCATTTTAGATGTTACTAAAGCCTCATACATTCTCTGTGCAACAAAGCTGGGTTTTTACACTGCTGCTATCATGCTCATTAAAGCTTGCTGCTGACAGGCTTTACTTAAATAAGCAAAAGCAAGCTGAATCTTAGGTTGTGGGGTTTTTTTTTTTTTTCTTATTCCAAGAAAAGAAAATCAGCATTCATGGAAACAGGGATTTCTCAAGATACCAGAGCATCATCTTTAACAAATTTACACTGCAGTCCATAGCTAATCAGATATTCTTGTTTCTGATGAGCACCTTAGATTTTCCCTAGCTTTAATTATGTTTTATATTTCACAAGCTTTGAATAAATAATTGTTTTATCCCTCTTACTCATGCACTTGTTCCCAAAGTACTCTATGGTTCTCTCCTCTACCCTTCACCTCCTTTTCAAAGTCCAGAATTGACTGTTTCTATGGAAACAGGCATATATGTAACATCTGCTATTCACAAGAAAGAGCAAAAAGAGAAAAAATGGATCAAAAAGTGTCACTTGCATTATGTAAAATTTCATAGCTCTGAGTCACATGCTGTGAAAGAGATCCTTTGTGAATGTAAAAGTTAGAAAGGTCACTTTCACATTAGAAAAATATTTCTTATACTTCTAAATGAAACCTCTTAAAAAATATTATCAGGAAAAGATACATGTTAGACTCTTAACACTTAAGGTTTCTATAAATATATTATCAACAATTATTTTTATTATATTATTGAGGTATGTAACAAAATATTCCCAAGCAAAATAATTAACCTGCACTCTTTGTTTTTAATAAGAAATGAGACTTCCTCCATTCCATCACCTCTCTCAATGATTATTTATTTATATGCCTCTCTTGCAGAAAATAATCTGCATGTATGGCTGTGGGAGTGGAAAAGAATATGGAGATTAGCCCACCAGATGGGCATTGTGCAGAGGAAATTAGTGCTAGGCAAAGAAATTCTCTAGCATTTCTTCCTGCCTATTTTTATATCATTTGATGAAAGAGAATATGCGCATTAAAAAGGGCTGGAGCTTCCATCACATGGTCACAGCTGCCACCTTTTGACACACGCACCCTCTACAGATGCCCCTGTTTAGACATTCTTTCTAAGGAGAATTTCATACTCATGGTTGAAGAGTAATATTCTTGTGCTTATTTACTAGTGAGATGTACAAGTGTGTATGCCTGTAGGAGTGGCCTGAAACCCAGATGGTGGACCTCTGTTTTAAATGAAAAGCATGTACTTTATCAATTTGTCTCTTTCAGTTACTTTACCAGCATAATTCATGGTTTACAGTCCAATAGCTGTTCTTCTGAATAGGCAGATGTAGGATTATGGTATAAGAGTCATAAATATGGGCCATCCAGTGCTCATGAGTGAGACTTTTCTTACCCAAGAAAGTGCAGTGATAAGAAATATATTTCACCTGGTGAATTTCCTCTAGTTGCAGAACTCTACCGGAAGGGGGAAAAAAAAAACCCTGTAACCCCAGCTGGTGCTCAAAGTTGCTTGGGAAATTAGAAACCTCAGTGAACATAAGATAATATTGAAATAGAATGCTTACAATTCAGCTTATGTAAGCTCATTATTTTGAGATTATCTTAATTGGTTGTACAGGCTTAGCAACAGCGAATGGTCAAATTAATGCTGAACTGTTCGATAAAATGATGACGAATATAATGAATATTAGTTTTGCTCAAATAAGCACAACACCACACAAGTCTATCCATCCTATTCGTTCTAAGTTTTGATTTTTAACTATTTTGTCATAATCATCTGCAGGACCCAAATCTATTGGCAATTCGGACAAATAGTACTGGTGCTGACCTAAGAAAAACCAATTATTTATTCAGAAGCTATAGAAAACAAACAGAAAAGCACTGTAACACTGCTTTTTAATAGTAACATAAATCAGACGACCTCAAGACTAGGGATGAGCTAGGGCTAAACTTCATTTATTTGCCTGCTTTGTGGAACAGGTTTTCCATATGGAGAATTTTCTCCCTCTGGATTTTTGATGAAAAATCTGGAGAAAATTTTGCTGACAAATTAGGGGGAAAAAAGGATTATATTTTCTTGTGCAGATGTACCTGCCAGAGATCTTTCATAATATTTCTTTTAGTATAAAATCACCTGCTTTGTCACAGCAGCATAAAGAGTGCCTTTCCCATAACTCTCCCTTGTCTGACTACAGTATGTGCATAGGCATCTGAAGGGGGCAAGAGAGAAACAGTGATGAAAAGTGTGTCACAACAACAACCACAAACCCTATGATTAATGAACATCTATCTAACATCAGGACACAAGTACAAAATGGTGCAGTTTGTGTCATGACACTGCAGTGCATGTTTCATCATAGTAGTGAACACCTAGGGCCACGTGTTCCCTCCTGGAAGTGCTATGGGGAAAAAAAGGGGAGTTTTTTACGGTTAAAAAAAAGGATATAATAAGATTCCTGGTCATCTGACATACCTAAGAAAGGTGGTTCTTTTTTTTAAAGGGGAAGACCAACTTCACCCCATTGTAGTATTAAATCTCCCTATGGTTCCCAGGAGTCAAATATACAAATTCACTCTTAGCAGAAACTGTTGTGGAAAAATTTTACATTCTTAGCATAGATATGTTTGTCCTATTGCCCCAAAGCATAAGTGCAGCTCTTCAACATTTCTCCAAAAGCTGCTGCCAGAGTTCAACATTCAATTTCACAGAAGGGGGAAATTAATAAATAGTTTGGGGAACAATCATGTTAAAGGCATTTAGTTAACTTAATTGTAACTAAATTTAGATTTCCTGCTAAGTCTTTTATTCTGGCTCCACCCCCTTAGAAGTGTGATCTTCAGTAAATTATTCTGCCTTGCCTGCCCCCCCCCCTTTCTTCAACATTGATTTAAATCATTCCATATACAATCTCCAGCTTTTCTAATTAAAGGGATCATATGGTTGCTAATGTAAAAATCTCTGTTAGAGGTATTATTTGATGAGAGATGATTGGTTATTTTACATAAATCCTCTTACCTCATATAATCCGGTCCCTAATTTTCATACTGCTGGTCAATGCTTCATAATTTATCTCAAAACTGTCAACAGTGTCTCTGATATTTCATGTGATTCCCAGGTGAACACGAGTTCTCTTGGGAGAGAGAAAAATATAAAGTATATTTAAAGTCCTACATATTATTTTCTTCAAATAGCAAGTTTCACATGATTTCAGTGGAACAATACCTAAATAAAAAGCACAGAAATGCAAGTTTAGACTCTCGACCACAGTTCTAAAGTAGAATTCTTTTTCAGAGAATAAACATAAGCGCAAGAGGTCAGAGAGCAATATCCTGAAGCTATTAGAAGCATATATCACATAAACAAGAAACAAAAGGAACAAAAATAACAGGTGCAGTTGCTTGATCAAATGTCCACCAAGGAATTTTCCCAGTTTAACTTAACTCATGACTGCAAAGTAAGTTCATGAGATGTGCAAGCCAGACTTAGATGATGTTGATGTTGATGCAACTTCTGGTGTTCTAATTTTGATCAGCACAACTTCAAAGGATAACTTACCCCTTTCTCCTCTATCATCTTCTCTATCTCCTAAAGCTGCTTTATGTCCTACAGCACACAAACAGACACTGAACAGAGGTGTGCATGTGTGTGTGCACGCTTGTGTTAGGGTTTGTTTGTATGTTTTAATTTCTATAGCTGCCCATCTCAACTAAGTGAGTCTGGGCAGTGAACAATAATAGCAGAAAGTACAATTTAATCAGAGAAAATAGCATGTGAGGGAGATAGTTAACACCCTTCCTCTGAATACTGCTTGTCCGATCAAATCAGAGTTTGCACAATTGCTTTGGTTTCTTAAAATTTAAAAATAAGAGATCTAGAGATCTTCCACACTAGTAACTTAAAACAATGCCCAGCCATTATTATGATGATATATCACTAATTCAGGATGATCACTAACCACTGTGATGACTGGGTGGTGCTTTAAATCATGAGCATGGAAGTCCTCCTGGTCATCATTGCCCTGCATCTCATCTGGTTTCCTATGATTTGTGGTAATTTTATAATCAGTTCAGAATTAAAAAAAACAACAACACTTTTTTTTCCACTAATGAGTTCCACATTTCAGCCACTTGCTAGTCTGCTTCCTTGGCAAATGAAAGCTAACATAAATCTTCAGTATTCTGCCACATGCACTTGGGTGGAAATCCTATGCAAAAATCAATATAAATTATTGTTGTGCAATAAAAATGTTGATCAGGGATGCCTTCACCATAGATTAAGTGCTGCAAAAGAAACTGCTTACACACTTCTTAAATGTTGCCATCACTATCCAAAGCAATTTAACTTCTCTTGAAGAGATAACTTCCTCATTCAGGGATTCTCAATTTCAGCAACATTGTGATGTGTAGACTTGAGCTTCCAGAATTCCCCAGCCAGCATGTTGGCTGAGGAATTCTAGGGGTTCAAGTCCACACATCTTAATGTTGCTGAGATTGCGAAACATTGCCCTAAGGGGTTTGTTACACTGGTAACATGCTCCAGTTTCCATAGGAAAAAAATGGGATCTAGCCTATTGGATTATTGTTGGTTCCATTTCTGAAGCCTCAGCCCTCTTCTGTACTGCCATGTTTCTTTTTTTTAAACACCATCCAGGTTCCAGGTGCCTCTGCAGATGTAAGGCTTGCATGCTGTCAAACTGCCTGATGAGTCTGCTATAGCATTGTAGGAAACCATCTTGTTCGGTGGGGGTAGCCCCATTTCCCTTGGCCCCTTTTCATTTTTGCCAGTCCATAGGACAGGATTTTTCTCCCACTTCTCACTAGGAGAGGAGAAAAATATAGCCGGGTTTTCTTCCTTACTTTGCTGTGCATTGACCTACATACCACATTTTGTAAAACTGAGTAATAAGTGGTGACTGGCCTAATTTTTGTTTCCTAAAAATTAAAGAAACGCCAACAGGCATAAAGCATAAACCAAAATAGTTGGTGCTATAAATAAAACATGAAATAACTGGATGTTGCCCATGTTGTAGTTCCTAAGAATTTTTGGAAGGGCAGAAAGAAAATAAAAGCTTCCCTTCTCACTCCATCTAAAGTCTTGTTTTGTACTTCACAACTTTTTCCTTATTTCAGATAACTGAGGAAACATTTTTTAATTATTTGCACAGAAAGTATTAATTCAGAACATAGTTTCAGTGAAAGGACTCCAAGAAGGCCTCATATCACTGGACATACACTAAAAGGAAATTACAAATATGGCCTGAGAACTAAGTAGTAGCTAATAACTAATAGTAATGTACATAGCATTAAGCCTGTTTTTCTTCTTCATTACCATTAAGTGTCTCAGAAAAAAAAATATTTCAGCTGCTATGATTATAACTATACTTGGTGCTTTAAATGGCCAACAAGTAACTTAGATATTTTTAACCATGTAATCCTACAAAAAGTCACTATCATAATTAATTCAGAAGAAATGAACTTGTGGTGCCTATTGTAGATAAAATCCTTTGCTTCTTAATTAATGTCTGAAGAAAGAACATTTCAAAGTGAAACTGAAAAGCAAAGGAAAAGAAAATCTAAGAGGTGAAGCCTAATTCTCACCCATAAGGAAAAGTTTTTAAGATTTAAGTCTTCAAGAGTGATAAGTACTGTAGGTGACAGGGACCTATTTTGGCCCAAGGGCTGAGTCTTCTGCTGTGGAATTTTTTGTCAAAGACAGGAGCACAATGCTGAAGAGAAGAACCATGTTTATTGCACTGATCATTGGGTGCCTGTTTTCCAAGAAAGAGGGACCCTTAACAATAGAAAAGCATAGAATTTATATACTTTTGAGGTTGACAGGCTGAAAATCTGAGGGATCTGATTCGAGGATAGGTTTGGATAGGTGTTAAATGGGGGATAAATGGTTTTTCTATTGTGAGATAAGAACCACAGCAAACCCTTAAGCAGACAGGTGATGGCCCTCCCATTATTTTAGTATGATAGTGCTAAGAGGGCTATTTTGGGCAGCTGGACATGGTCACTCTTGGGTCATGTGATAGCTTGGAGCTGATCCTGTTTTGCATGAGCAAAGAATGGCAGAAGGAAGTGGAGAAAAGAGATTGCAGGAGAGGCAAGGCAGGGGTTTCAGCTTTATTTTATTATTTTTCCATCACACTTCTCTGAGCAAACGTATTGGCAGTCACATGCGATCAGTAAGTGGGAGCAGAGCCCACAGTGAGGAGGGCTGTTGCACTGCAGGCATAAGGCCTTGATCCATTGTCCAAAGTCTCATACATCTATTTTCAATTCTGCCTTAGCGTACATCTCCCTCCGTCCCTCTCTCTCACACACAAATACTGTATATGCCCATCACCACAATATGCCTTTAAAATAGCTTCTATTGATGCCAGTGGAAACTATTTAAAAATATGATTGCAGAATGTGAATGATATTCCAAGGGGAGGTATAAGGCATCACCAGGATGCATCAGTCCTTCACCAAAACCTCTACTGCATCTTCCCACAATTCTTAGGGAGACCCTATTCGGTAATTATGGAAGTCCAGCTGAGCTTCTGAACAGGGGCTTCTTGAGCCCGTGTTAGGAAAAGGTGCTTCTAGTCTTCCCATGAAAGACAAAGACAAGACAAAATGGAGTTGTTCCTCTTCATTGTAAAACCTTACTTTAGAAGAGAAACTGAATGGTTACTCAGAGTTTGATTTTCATGGGACTACTAATGGAACTGAAAGGATAGGCTTAAATGACAGGTGTGATGTCAGCTTTCCTTTAACTTTTTTGTGTCTGAAACTCATGGAATGGGATTCTTCCCAATTCACTATGAGAGACAGTGTTGCATTAAAATTAGATTTTATAACAGCTTCCTTTCATATTTATGGAGAGTATTTTTATACTTGCTTGCAGCACGGTAACTGATCTTTTGAAAAGCTGGTCATGGTGATTGGGAATAGGAAGCTACTGATAAGGAACCTTATAAACAACCTCTCTCAGATTGGAGTCAATCCCACAGGAAGGTGGGAAATCCCAGCATGGAATGGAAGGGCTATCCCTATATTTTCCAACAGAATCCCTCTTTGAATATCCTACCCCATACAGCAATTAAAACAGCCTGTAGTATCCTAATTAGAGAGCAGGGGAAACCTTTTATCTCTGAACATCTGCTGATTATAAATAAGAATTTTCTCTTTACTAGTTAAGGAAAAAAGGATCACTGGGAAGAACCTTGTGGGCTGAAGATTTCCCATGTTTTACATAAGTATTTGTAATTATTGAGTCATTGGGTCACAACAAAACATATCCTGTGTTCCAAGAGAGCAAACTTTTAAATCCTACTTTTATGAAGAGACCATCAGTACCATCTACTCTACTTATCTTAATTACAATTACAGTTTTTTTAATTAGATACAATCATTATCAGCAGCTTTCCTGAAACATTCATAGATGGAGCAGAGCACGGCTTTATCTTAGCTACTAGGGCCATATGCATTGATTCCCACCACCACCATTTTCATATTCAAGGGTCTCATTTATCCAGGTACATATTCAACATATACATGAGTCTTCCTAGATCCTGGTGTACATATACTCTTAGTGTATAACTAAGCCCCGTTCCCATGGTATGCTTATGCTTAATTGGTTCATTGGGGAGATAGCATGTTGCAGGAACACACAATTAGTTGGGTAATCCCTAGGGTGTTGAATTTAACCCAAAACAGACCCAGACTTGCACAAGATTAAATTAACTCCACCCAGTTGGCCATGGGAAGATCAAAATTAAGCAATCCATCCATTTTGCTTATCTAGACCTCCAAGAAAGAGCTGAAGAAAACAACAAAGGATGAAACAAACCTGTGTGTTACAGAACCCATGCCAACTTTTGGTAGTACAGAACACTACACCCCAAACATTGAGCTTCAGAGGCCAAGCCATGCTTACTGCTGCCTATTAAATAGGCCAGAGCTTGGTTTAAGCCCTCATGGCATCCTAAGCATTAACTGGAGAAAGTAGGGAGGGATTCTCCATTCCCCAAATTGTGATTTTTTGATATATTCAGTCTCAAATCACTGTTAAGGTGATATGACTGGTTAGAGGCTGGCTGAGTTCAAGGTGTTTGAGAAACAGGCAAATGAAAATGCAGAAGCATAAAGACTAACCTGTCAAGTGTTCAGGTTCTCCTCTCAGAGCAATTCCCAAAAGAGTGCTAGAGAAATTCTTCATTTTGTTTACTGAACCCAGACCATGATACTATGGCCCTGCACTGGGGTAGTTCAAAGTCAGAGTTCTTTCTCTTGGCTTGCTTCATCTAAAATCCAACTTCCTGTTTGCCATTTGTGCAATAAAAATGTTTGATTTTTGATACTGAATGTGCACTCGTAGAGGTTGCCAGATTTGAGGCAGAAAGATAAAGCAGTGCTCTCTATGTTGCCTTGCAGCAGAGCAGTAATACATACCACACACTGTGTTTAAATCCTTGGTTTATGAAAGTAAGAATAATTTCTACTTTGTGGTTCTTTTGACATTCAAGTGGTGTTTCCTGAGGGAATGAACCAGCCAGCAGAACATTTTCTCAGCTTCTCATGGTTTCACAAACTATACACAGCTCTCAGGGAAAATTGCTAGTGGTGTAAAAGAGAGGTGAAAAAATGGACTAAAATTGCTAGAAAGAAGCATAGTTCATTTGACTCTGCTGGCTGCCATAAAGGTACCATATATTTATGAAAATAACTGCTTGAGTGTTGTGATCCATAAACAAAACAAAATCCATATCTACGGTAATTGGCTGAATGCAAAATTAAATGCTGTAGTCCAAATGAGAAGCCGTAAATTGGTTTTCCAATAAAAGGAAACAGCAAATAAAGAAGAATTACCAAGTCTGTTTTAAATAATTACAACAGAAATGCACTGGCCACAAATTGAATCTTACTATTCTTACTTGTACTTCAGTGAAAATGTCAGGCCGTGATATGAAGTAGACCAAGTTCATATTATGTGGCTGGTTAGTATATAATACTGTAAAGGTTTTATATGGTAATTTCTGAGTAGTGGGAAAGAAGGAAGAGATTATTTTACCAATGTGATATAGTGGCAATACAATGTCCTTCTATGCAACATTGTGCTGCTATTATACACCAGGGATCTAAGGAAAAAGATGTGTTGAGTCCACTAGTTTGGGGAAGTTGCCGAGAATTTGCACATGCAGGGCTGTCCACTGGATATGATAAAAACAAAAACAAAAAAACTGAGCGTGCAATCAAAGCTCTGCCCATTTTTTATGCACTTGTGAAATCTCCAGACCAAGGAGGGATGAGCTACATGATATGACTGAATTTATTTCCTGTAAAATAAATTATTTATATACGTTATCGTTTTGAGCCATCCCAAGTTCCTGCAAATGTTTTTTCAAATAAATAAATAAATGTCATTGAATGAATCTAGAATACACATATCGAAAAGTCCTTTGGGCATTTCTGTATTAAGGAAAGGTGATTTGTTTTAACATGAAAAATCATGTAGCCAGACAACCTTTAGATGTTTTGCCTAAGCTGGGCACCCTCAAGATATATAGATTTCAATTCCCAGAATTGTCTGTCATTGTTAGGAATCAGAGAATTGAAACTTGGAAGGCACCAAGGTTGAAGATGGCTCTTGTTAGGGTTTGTTGGAGAGCTTTGATGTTGGAAATCTCTGATAAGAACTTTGGATTACTTTGCCCATCAATTTAACTTTTTAATTAATTAAATGCTGATCCTACTAATTGAGTCCTTGGAGTGATATAACAAGATTAATTTTGCTTACACATTGAACAAATAGCCATGAAACAATTATTGACTGGATTTTAATAGTTGGGTTTTTGGGTTTTTTTGGTAAAAGCTTTTCTTGAGATATACTGTATATAAAAAGCATAGTTAAAATACAAATCAGAAAGTATAGC